AGAGACACACTTAAAAACCTTAACAAAACCCTAAAAAACTCAATGTGGCCACGACAATGGCCACCCACAACTGCGAAAATCAAGAAAACAAGTAAAGGAAGGGAAAAGAAACCTTACCAGAATAAGAGAATAGGATGAACTTGTCGGAAAAGCACCATGAAGATGAAGAAGCAGTGACGAAATAAGCAAGAACGCTTGAGAGTTTTTGCAAAGTGTGTAAGCTTTCTGACGAGTTGGCCCGCTTTTATAGTGGTTTACTTGGAAGACGAAAGGGCGGGGTTCGATCATAGCTGTCGATCTATAGTGAATCCCGACCCTCATTTCGTTGAGTAATCTCAGCCCTTAGACAAGGCCACGTGTCAATCATCCACGAGGGCAATCAACCGGCAAACTTCCATAATAATAACTGTTGCCTCAACTTTGCACATGGACAACTGTAGTCACCCACGCGTGATGAAAAGTAATTGCCAAAGGCTACCGCATTTAATGCGACATGATTGCATGGAATTTACACAAGTACCCTTTCTTTTCAAATTCCGAGTTTGTTGAGAATGTCACAAAAGAGAAAAGGTCAAGTGTGGATTATGTCGATTGGGCATAAGTCCGACTCATGAAGCTCAACCGAATCTGCATCCAATGCCTTATCGATGAATGCAGAGCTTGATATCAAATCGAGCAAAAATCTTCGAAGCTCAAAACGAGCACCAAACACTAGGGGGCAGATGTTGTGTGTGATTTTTCCACCAAGCTCGGAGTGTTGAGAGATTATAGCCCGATCCAGGACTAGCTCAACTTTATTGATTGCCCAACCCAGCATAAGCTCATCGAGTAATAGCTCGACCTAGCATAAGCTAGTCGCAACCAATCTTCGCAGTTGTTCAACCAATTCATGCACGGATAACTTCAGATCCCAGATATCTCGGGAAGGATTAGATCAACAACAATCTTTACGCAATCACAATGCCCAATCACAAGACTATCAGAGTTGCATTTCAAACTTAATTGTAATCCTTTTATTTTCGCTCTTTCCTTTGTATAAACTCTGTATATAAACCCCTTTCAACAATGAGAAAGGGGTTAGCAAATTATTCTAGGATTGTCATTGCAAACTCTCACAACAAACACAATAACAATGGAGGTAGGCTCAAGAGTTCAACTCGCCGAACCACTTTAAAAATCTCTTTGCCATTTACTTTACTACACTGATTATTTATTCACTGCTGATTATTCGTAATCACACATACATAAGTTCTGATCCCGACTAGGTCGATCGGATCACTCTAGTTGGTGTAATTCTTGCATCAACAATACTAATTCCCATTCCCCATGTTGAAATGAATAGAGCCCTCAATCTTCTCCATTCTCATCCTGCTCCGCTTAAACTATTTGGGAATGAAATAGGCCTCCCTACCCCTCAACGTGGCATAAATTTATTATAATTTTTTTAACTTGATTTAGGAGGCTAAGTGTTGAACACAAAATTATGGCTTTATTAATAAGCAATTTTATAAACAATTACTTACCAATTACTATTAAAGATTAAAATTTAAAAGTATGGCTTAATTCATTTATAAAATTTAATGTTAATCAACAATAATAAACCCTGTTCTAGAATTTAAAACTTACAGCACACCTTACAATTCTCAACTAATTAAACTTGTTACCCATGAAATCTTATTATAATCCAATAGTTTTTTTTTTTTATTGTAACCTTATCAACTCTTAAATCATTGAATTGTAACTTATCAACAGTTAAAAATTTATGTAAATAATTTAAATCAAAATTTTAAATTAAAAGATCTCATCTCTTATTTAATTTGTCTCTCTAAAATCACTTAATATTAACGCATTCCTTTGTTAATGAAAATATATCCCTTAAAATTATTATATAAAAAAATGCTTAAAAGTATTAAACATTCTCTTAAAAATTTATTAAAAACGGGTCATTTATACTTTTCAATGATGCAAGACAAATTAAACACGATCTCACATGAATAAATAAAATAAACCCTTCAAGGAATTCATTTGTTCACATTTTACAAAGCAGGTGAAAAAGATGTAGCTTGTGTGTATTCAGGAGTAGCACCGATTGTCTAGGGTCTGTTTGTTTTATTATTCGTATCTTATCCTACCCAAAATATATATTTGTTTCCCTATTTTGAAAATCCAATTTGATTTTATTCAATTATTTTAAACGCCCTAGGTTTGTTAATTTAGCTAAACATCCCCTATAATAAAAAGTTTAGAAATTGATAAAAACACCCCCACCCATGCACATTTGCCAGATTATGACTGGAATCTGGCGTAATGGCTCACTATTGACTGGATCTGGTTGTCAACGACGATCAAGATATGGTTTTCGTTGACTGTCAATGACGGCCATATCTTTGGGCATCATTGACAACCAGATTTAGCCACAGATCTAGCCTTTTTTGGCCAGATCCATGGTGGATTTGGCTGGAAAATGTCATATCCACGCACGACTGGCCAGATCCAGTCGGTCGTGCACCATTATGCCAGATTTCGACCATCTTTCGATGGTGGTGACCAGAATCTGGCAAATGTCGGTGGATGGGGGTGTTTTTGTCAATTTTTAAACTTTTTATTGTAGGGGGTGTTTAGCTAAATTAACAAACCTATGACGTATTTTTGTTAATTTTCAAATCCTACTTCGTAATAACAACCCAACTTAAACTTTTTCAAAAATCCTACCCAAAATAATAAAACAAACACATCCCTAGTTTTGGGATCATGAAAGTTTGATTCTTTTTAATATTTTAATGAGAAAATAATTGATAAAAAAAGATTTCAGGTAACTTCTAATGTACCAAATTAGAAATGAGTAAAAGCCATTTACCCACCCAAGGTTTGGCGAAGCTTTTTCCCACTCATAGTTTCATAAATTACAAATTCCCACCCAATTTTAAATTTTAAACATTAAATTAACAGTTAAAAGGGCATTTAGGGCTTTTTATGTAAAAATAGTATACTCCAATCTCTCACTCCCCCTAATTAGTAAAAATTCAAAATAACCCTCCACATTTCAAAATTTTCTCACAACCCAACCCTTTCTCTTCGCCTCCAACTCCACCACCACCACCAACACCAACACCACCGGTGGCTAGATCTGGCCGCCGTGGAGAAGAGGAAACGGGAAAGAGAAAGAGAAAAGAGAAGAGAGAAAAAGGTGGAGAAGAGATAAGGAGAAAGAGAGAGAGAAAAAAAGAGAGAAAGAGACAGCGACGACCAGATCTGGCCACTACAGAGAAGAGGAAAGGAGAAAAAGAGAGAGAAAAGAGGAGAGAAAGAGGTGGAGAAGAGATAAGGAGAAAGAGAGAAAGAGACGAAGAAGATCCTGGTGGCTAAAACTGGCTGCCGAGATCTGGTCGCTATGGAGAAGAAGAAGATTGAAGAAGAGGGTGTTATTGAAATAAATTTGAAAAGAAGATGGTTATTTTGCTAATTCTATTAATTTGAGGGTCAGAAAGTAATTTATTAATTTACTCATTATTATAAGAAGTAGTAAAAAATGGTATTTGACTAATCAAACCTGGTCAAAGCAAAATTTACCTTAACAAAGTTTAAAATTGGCTAGGAATTTGCAATTTTTGAAACCGCGGGTGAAAACTTGTATATTCGCCAAACCTTGGGGGTGTAAATGTCCTTTACTCATTAAAAATCAAGCTGCAGTGACCATAAAAAAAAGTTGAACATATTAAGTGTCATACGGTAAAATCACAAGGCTTGAAATCTACATATGTGTCATATGATTAAGCAATTGGTGCATAAACACTTGCTACATGCATGTATTTGAGCCACATGTTATGCCAAGAAAGGGTGACTTCATCTATAAGACTGTCATGGGTTGCTTCAATAATAAGATTCACGACTGAGTTGTCATCTATGTCGCGTGTCACTCTGTGAGAGGACTACGTCACTATTAAGTCTCGAATAAAGGCGGTTTGTTAGAACACATGTTATGCAATAAAAGGGTTACTTCACATGTAAGGTCACCAACCGAACAGTATAAATAAGGGTTTCCCACCCTAAATCAAGGATCTTGAGTTTCATTCTCTCTATAGCTAAGAAAAATTATCCTTCTTGAGGGCAAATATCTTTTGTCAACATATCAATAAGATGACGGTAAACATAGAATTTGCATATTATGTCTCAATTACTTTAAAAACTGCTCTTGTCTACTCTTTTTATTTATTTACTTGCATTATTGTTATTATCGCCTACAGGTTCAACATCATATTTTATGATCTTGCATAGACCCTTTGTGCGAACTTCTCTAGAAGGCTCACGTATTTGTCGTTGGTGCAAAAAATCGCAACAATATTAAGAATCAAAATTTGAATTGTGACAATTTAGTAAATAGCTGAGTAAATTATACATCCACTACTGAAAAATTCCTGTGTCATGGACTGCTAGTGGCCTCCAGTACTGGAATGTCTGAACCTAAGAAGCAATGGCCATGGCAATTACACAACAAGATTCACTTACAGAGATGAGAGCTTCGTCGGAACAGTGACACTTGACCGTCTCAGCTACAACTAGAATTGCTGGCAATTTCCACCTTATGTTGCCTACCATACGACTCCAAAGTGGAAAATCTAGAGTAAATCGCTCTGGAAGAGAATCGAAGGCAGACTAATCAATTTTCATATTTTGCAAAACGGCTCTAAGAGCAATTGCGGACAAATACTTTTTATGCAACTGGAAAAAAATAAATTATATGGCCTTCATCTACGTTGCATCACTGTCATCAATCTGTTGTGTAACACCCTCACTTGTTCAAGAGATGATGCTGAAATGGCCTATATTACAGCCTTTGGCTGTTCTTGGAACATTCTCACTAGTGACATAACAAAGTTGCGAATCAGCAACTGCATCAGTCAATTTCTAGTCATCAACTTCATTTACTACAACATAAATCTTGAATCATCACTTTCACCAGTTGCTTGACATAATTCTGTCAGATCAAATATGCTGTCACCATGGTATTGCTGCGGATTCACACGTTCATCAGCTTTGTTTTGTGCAAGAAAGCTGGAAATCATTACCTTCCCCAGCTCCTTAACATGGTTCTGGTATGTCGCCTTTCCTATCAGCAAGGCGAAACTGCACATGTGCAACCTTTCTGACCTTGTTTGCAGCAAGACAAAGTTCACCAACTGCTTGACATGGTAGAGATTGGTCGACCTTGCTATCACTGGGGCAATGTTGTGCATTTGCATGATATATTTGTGAACCATGGATGGGGCTATCCCTATCAGCATGCCAAATTGTCTCAAGCAACGATCGAGAAGGTGTCTTTCTGCCTTGTCAAAGCAAATCAACATTGTAGTCGATCTCCCAAGAATCAAAGTACCTCGGATACTTTCTGTTAATTATATAAGGGAGCCACTCCACCTACATGTAAAAGTGAACTATATGACAGATTCTAGATATAAAAAATAACTAGTTTCTAAACAATATAATAAAATTAGATACATATCACAAACTTTACATCGCTAGCTTTCAGTGAATCGAACGCATTACGATAGAAAAATAGTCACACCACTTTGTTTTGCCTTCCACCTAATCACAAATGGAAAGCAGTCACCAGCTAGGTCTTCTTTCAGCTTTGGTCGCCCAATATTCAAGTGGTAGTAACTCCAACACTAATAAGAAAATATATAATGAAAGCTATAACCACAAGCAGGATAAAGACATTATATGAAACAACTGTTCAACATCCTCTCCACTTTTTTTCTCTAACATCAATGCCAAATATACAATTCTATGAGAGAGGAACTTAGAAGAAAATTCAGATTAACTAACCTGTAGTAGTGTTACACAACCACTGATTATACTTTTGAGATTTAAGATAAGCCTTCCCAAGTGCTTTGTATAAGAAAGCCAATGCTGCTGCACCTCATGCATACTTTCCAGCCTTTTCAAAATCCCCAAACAACGGGGGGTACATCACAGGCACTTTGTTTCCGGCTGTAGTGAAAAAATAGTGCTGCCAACCAAGTATAGAAGGTAGCACGTGCGTGGCACTCCACATCTTCCATTCGACTAGTTTAGTTTCAGCATTCCACTGCTCATATACGCAGACTCTGGTACTCTACCCAAATACTTTTCACACAAACTGCTGCATGAGGTATATCTTACACCTAAAACAGGTTCACCGTCAATTTCCAGACCAAGCAGCAATGCAACATCTTTAAGAGTTATTGTCATCTCTCCAACAGCCAAGTGAAAAGTATTTGTTTCTGCTAGAGTGCAGAAATAAGTGGATTGTCTAGACTAATCAGAGGTATCTGTCTGAAATATCTGAATCCAGCCTTGTCCTCCAACTTTCATGACATCTCACCACACCACCTTCCTATCAATCTCAAAACACTTCAATGGTGAAGAACATAAACGAAAAAGATGAGAAAAAAGTCAAGTCCCAGCAATAAGCTGCACCTGCCCCTCGCAAACTTCGGAGGAGACATGCTTCTCTTGATCATGAAGCACAAATTTATCAATCGGCCCAGGATCGGCTTCATCACACTCAATGATTGGTTCACAACAATCAATTAATCCAAAATTGGTCCCACAAACTTCCATTGTTTACCAATGGAAACTACAAGTTTAAACAAAACGTTAGCTCCAGATATTAACCCAGAGCCAAGCTGTTGAATCAATGTACGTAACCCTATATAATCTTGTAGAACAATTAAACTTTCCACCACTCAACACCAGAAAAAAAAAAACTAAAATTATAAGCAGAATCAAAGAGAACCCTATTCATAAAAATAAATTAACTGAATCTAAGCTTGAGCTAGGGTACTATATCATGTCATGGCTGTAACTTTTTATTAATTTGTTCATTTTATGTCAAATTTTATCAATCACATATTTCAACTTTTAACTAACATTTTATCAAACGACGATCAACCATAACCAAAGCAAAAGCTCGAAGGATAAAAACTCTCAAACGACGTTGTCGTACTTATGAATCCATGATATAATATTTTATCAAGACAAAATATAATATAAATCAAAGATTTTTTTTTATTGGAATAGATTCGCATGTTTTCAAAAATTTAATTTTAGGACATTCTCTTAAAATATTAGGAAAATAGAGTTCTCAATTTTTCTAATTTTTAAGAGTTAAAAACATTTTACACCTAAGATTTGATTTAATAACAAAATCTCCTTAGGCTTCTGGAACAATTGAAACAATGAAATCACTACACATTTAAGTTTCACGTGCTAAAGGATGCCAATTTGGTGAATTAATTATAATAAGATAAATTCCAACTATTAATAATTTATTAAGGATAATGAGATTTTTGTTATTTTAAAAAGGTAGAACGATATGTTCCCACCCCAGGTTTGGTAAAAGAACACTTTCCCACCCATCAAGTTTCAAAATGACACTTTTTTACCCTCCGCCAAGTTCCGTCAATGTTTTCCGTTTTGAAGAAGGGTAATATGGTCAATTTCCATCCTGCCATAAAAATAAAAAATCAAATATTGAAATCTATGTGAGTGTTGCCTGGACTGGTTGCCTCGTCCCAGTGAAGTTGACGTTGAAAAAAAAAAAAAAGAAAAAGGGAGAACGAAAAAGTTGTCTGCCTTTTCTCCCTATTCTATCGTAAGTCGTAACTCTCTTTGCTCTCTGAAACTTACGCGACTATGACCTAGGGTTCTGTCGTAACTCTTTGCTCTCTGAAACTGAAGCCTTTTCTCCCTATTATGTCGTAACCCTACCCAATAAGGATACACCGTATCGACTTCTTTTCAATCTTTGTCCGACTTGTTGACGACAAAGACATTTCACTCTTAAATTCTTTGTCAGGTGAATGCTTCTGATGTTACTATCCTGGAGGTTATTCTGGTTTTCCATGATCAACGTGTCCGCAACCTGATGAACATGAAGACTTTTGTTGACACAGGTTTGATCTCTTTAATAAGTTTTTTATATCTTAGGCATCATTATTATCATATTTCTTATCCTCCTAGTTTCATTTGTGTATTTATTATGGTCGATTTCAATGTTGTGGTTTTACAATATAGAAATATGCTCCATACTGACTTGTGTAGTTGTTCCAAATTTGTGTCACATAGTTCTTGAAGGGATGTTTTGCTCCTAATTACTTTAAAGTTTTATTTGGAGAGAATATTAAAAGGTAAGAAGTAAAGAAAACAAAACCAATCTTTTCAAGAATATCCAGAGGATTTATGTTTTGTAGAAAATGGGTTGCCGGCTGATTGCAAGATTTATAAATGGCTTACAGACTTGTCAAATTGTTTCTCACTACAAACTGTGTATTCAGCAGTTGGATTGCCTTGAATACTCATTTGTTAGGACATTAATTTCTCTGCCTTTTACAGATTTGATATCCTGATAGGATCTTCTCTATAATGTACACTTAAATTCAATATAAAAGGAAAGACTTAAGTTTGCGTGTTTCTCAAATATAGGCTTTTACGATTTCATAGATCATGTTGATAGATTGTAGATATATACTTCATAGGTGTGCCCAATTTGAGGGTTAATTGGATCTATCTTGCTGACAATTGTCAATGTTAAGCCAGGACTGCTTTGTGTATGTGTGCACAAGCACATGCATATCTGGTGGAGAACTGTGTGGAGGGTTTGGGGGTGGAAGGGCTGTAGAAGGGGAGAGTTACCTTTGACAGTCCAATGGGAAAGCAGTTGTCAATTTTTTTTTTTTTTTTGGTTGCATCTCTCTTCCTCTACCTGCTCGTTTGCTTGCTCTGTTGTTCTGTTTATAATAATTGACTTTTATTGATTGTAGATGCTGATGTGAGGCTTGCTCGTAGAATTAGACGTGACACAGTTGAGAGGGGTAGGGATGTAAACTCTGTACTCGAACAGGCAAGGCTTTTATGATATCTTTAATTTATATACAACATGATTCAGTTAACTTTAATTAGGAACCTATTAGGAGTTCATTTGGATGAAAGCTTAGACCTTCTGTTCATGCTTCTATTCATCTGTGCTACTTGACCTTATGGTTATATATTTTTACACAAGAGTATTCTGTGTTTATGTGAAAGCCACTACTCTGGGAGTTAGCCAGAAGTATAGAAACTCCTAATCTGCCACTTGGAGAACTGACCCTGTGGCACATGGGCTACTGCATGAAAATAGAAAAAAAAAAATCTGTCTTTAATCTCATGTATGGTTTTAATTTCCGCAGAAACTTTAATCTTTGCCATTGTTGGAAGTTATCTGCATGCCTCTTTAGTTTTAAAAGTTTAGACTTCTTATGGCATTCCAAATCATAATTACATTGCAAGCATTTTGTTAATTTGCAGTATGCCAAGTTTGTGAAACCTGCCTTTGACGATTTTGTTCATCCATCAAAGAAGTATGCGGATGTAATCATTCCCCGGGGAGGTGATAATCATGTTGCCATTGATCTGATTGTACAACATATCCACACAAAGCTTGGTCAGCATGATCTCTGTAAAATATATCCCAATGTCTATGTGATTCAATCAACATTCCAGGTATCTCTTTTTGGTCTGTAATGTGTTGCTTTTATTTTTCCTTTTATGTATGAGGTTTACTTCTGTAAAGAAACAGAAATATGGCTTCATATGCCTCCATTTGTTAATACTAGAACAGCTTTTTACTGTGTGTTCTGAGCCAGTGCCCATCGCTTTCACTGGACATAGACATAAGTTTTACTGATCAACAGTTCCTGGATTACAGTAACTTAATATATGCCTGATGTGATTGGAAAACATAAAAACACATGGATTGTGGCGATTTGGTTTCTACCAAGTACTATAAATATAAGGCTTTTGCACCATGGCATTATGATGATAATTCTTTCCTTAAAGTTCCCTTTCAACTTTGCAATCTAATGTGGTGTTCTTTTATTGTTTACATGTTTTGGCTTAGTACTTCTTTAGTTATTTTCTTATGAGAGACCCATGTTTCAGATTAGAGGTATGCATACACTGATACGAGACAAGGAGATATCAAAGCATGATTTCGTGTTTTACTCAGATCGACTTATCCGTTTGGTAATTTTGTTTCATAGCTTTGCTGATACTGTAGCTTAACTGAGCTGTTTCTTTTTTAAGCCTTGAAATCTTAGTTGGTTCTTATGGTAAAAAATATGATTGCTTGTGTTGATTTTGACTTCCAGGTTGTTGAGCATGGCCTTGGCCATCTGCCATTCACTGAAAAGCAAATAGTTACTCCAACAGGTGTGTTAGAATAACATATAGCGGGATTGAACTCATTTTTTCTGTATTCATATCGTTTACCCCCATCCTCGAAATATGCATCAACTTTATGAATTTGCGTGTCTCTAATATTTGCTTTGACAGTGTGTTTGCTCAATTGCTCTTAAGCCATTGGATCTCAAGTTCTCTCTTTACTTTTGCCTCCGTCCCCGTACTGGCCCCTCTTTTTCCATTCCCACATTCTATAAATATGCATAAACTTTGTGAATTTACTTATGCCTCTGCCATTGGCTTGATATGTTTGAGCTGATTCTCTCTTCCCGCATGTATTTGTTTTTATGTTTGTGCATACCATAACTTGGAAATTTTTTTTTGTTATTCCTTTTTCAGCGTCACTGTATACGGGGGTTGATTTTTGCAAGAAGTTGTGTGGGGTTTCCATTGTTCGAAGGTGAACACTTAGTGAGGTTTTCATTTTGTTAGTTCTAGTTTTATGGCATTGTACTTGTATCATGAGTTATGATGTCAATTTCCATCTTATGCCATATGATAATGATTAATTTGGTTTCTGATCTTCAGCATGTCCCTGTGGAAGCTGGACATGAGCCTTGATATGGGAATTTCCTGCTGCGTTGAATTTTAGTGACTTCATTTATCTTGATTCATGCTAATACATTCCCCTCGTGATGTTACAGTGGTGAGAGCATGGAAAATGCATTGCGTGCATGCTGCAAAGGAATTAAAATTGGAAAAATTCTGATTCACCGTGACGGAGATAATGGTAAACAGGTAAAGAAGATATATATTTCTTTTATAAGAAAAGATTACCGGAGCTAGAGTGTTGCATCCTGTGGTACTAAAGGTTATCTGAAATTAATTTTAGTCTTCAACTTTGTCCCCAATATGATCAGCTAATATATGAGAAGCTTCCCAAGGATATTTCAGAACGGCATGTCCTGCTTCTTGACCCTGTACTTGCCACAGGTAACTTTTTCTTTATTTCCTTGGAAGTTTCATTGTCATTTCCCTTCTTTTTGTTAACAAGAAGCCTTTTTGTGGTCCTCATAACTTGTTCTATTTTTTCTTTTTTATCCTTATCCTCTTCTGCTAAAGGGCTTATCTCTTATAACAGAAGGTGGAAAATTGAGAGTGAAAAAAATTTCAGTTCTTTTTTTCTTTTTTTTCACACAAAATTTTTGAGAATGACTGCTTGAGTGACTGAACTTATTCTTTTTCAATTCAAACTACCAGAAAGTAGCTGTCATTTTTAGGTTTATCAGCGGTAACATATTTGTATTACCATTTTAAGGTGTGCTCCCTGGAATTACGGTCTTGAAATGATGTCTTGGTTAAGATGTAATGGAAAACAACACAGAAGATGATTAGGGACTAGGTACACGCTATTGATTTGCTGATGATTGCAAGCCAATCTTTCCGGATTTGAAATAAGAGTGCAAAAATGATGCATTGCTTGCATATCCCAGCTTGTGGTAAAACCATGTGCCTACTGATTTTGGCAAGTGGGCACTCTGCTAACCAAGCTGTTGAACTATTATCAGTGGACACTATTATAATATTGACAATATTCCTGTATGATGATTGAAAACTAATCTTGATGGTTGTTCCTTGTAGGGAACTCTGCAAACCAAGCTATCGAACTACTCATTCAGAAAGGAGTACCAGAATCCCACATTATATTCCTCAACCTCATCTCTGTGAGTAATTCTTGTTACTCGTGATACCTCCTGTGTACTTTATTTTTTATATACTGATCTTATGATTTAACTTCAGGCTCCAGAGGGAATCCATTGTGTTTCTAAAAGGTTTCCATCATTGAAAATTGTCACTTCCGAAATTGATGTTTCTTTAAATGAAGAATTCCGTGTCATCCCTGGTTTGGGGGAGTTTGGTGATCGTTACTTTGGCACTGATGATTGATCATGATGGTTGAAATGTAGAGGAGATTTTTACCCACTTTCAAATGGGGCGGTTTTTACAGAAAAATTATAATCAATATTTTGAAATATGAAGGGAATTTCAACGTTTGCATAATATACAACTGTTACTGGTTAAGCTCTAATATTTCTCATCATTAGTTTGTGTTTATATTACTGCAAGAATCTTCAGTTATTAATGAGATGGCTTCCTGTGCTGTCAATGTAGCTTCATGTTTCATGGTTGTTTTACCATGTTTATTTAATTTTATGCAAACTTCATGTTTCATGCATTGTTTTACCTGTGGAGTTAGCAACAGTCCTCAATGCATGTTACCATATCTCATTATTTTCAGTTATAACTGTTCTGAGTATTTATTAACTGCACGAAACTAATTCATTAAGTGATATTTATAAGCCTAAAATTCAATAATTTCTATCTAATGTGGGAGTATAAAATACTCTTCATCTTATCACGAAGGTAGTACATTAGTATTGTTATTACACCCAAGTTCCTTTCTCCTGCTGGTCTCTGGGGACATGCCGATTTTGATTAGGTTATCTTTCATGTCATCCACCAATTTGAAATAGGAAAGCCTCCAAGATTTCTTTATTTTCAAACAAATGATAAATGCCAGTACTATGGTGCTATAAAACAACAGCCTCTCAAGTTTATCTTTGTCTTCAACATCTTTCCTTCTCCACTGGGAAAGTGAGATGTTTCTTCGTCTTCGTTGCTCTTGTTGGGTAGTGCAGACCCACAAAGTGCAGTGCGACCCTCGTAAATTGATGGATCATTGAAGGTTGTAATTGGTTCGTTAATGGGATGTCTCCAGATAGATTATTGTTTGACAGGCTCAGCCGCTCAAATGAGCCAAACAAGTAGAAGCTGTCAAGCTAGTAGAAATGGGGCAAGGAATCCGGGATTTTTCCTGTTAAACGGATAAAAAAGAGATTTATATATGTTAACATGGGCATTCGTTCACCGAAGCTTTCAGGAATGGGTCCAGAAAAAAAGTTATGGTCCAAATATAAATAAGTCACATTTGATGAAAATACTGGCAAACGACCAGTAAAGATATTATAGCTCAAGATCACCATGGCATCTGCACCGAACTTTATTGTGTTTGAAACTGCACCGCTCAACTGATTATAACTGAAGTCCAATATATCCAGAAACAAATCTAACTCCAAAAACCAATTTGGTATCTGTCTGAAATATTAGTGTGCATGGAAAAGTTGGAAAGAGTAAACGACTTTTTCACACCCAAGGTTTGCCTCAACGACATTTTCCGCTTAAAAGGTTTCAAAATACCACTTTTCACCCAAATTTATATTTTGTTAATACCCAAAATATACTTTACCTAAATTTATATTCTGTTAACATCTTCTGGTCGACTATATATTACTCAACAAGTGAAGTTTAATGAAGTTGATTTTCCATTTAGAATAATGCTATGAACACCAAAGACTTACACCGAAATTTTGTACCGAATGACGTGTCATACAGCCACGTAATATATTAACAAATATTCTGTGAATGAACGACCGTTCATCAAATATGGACAGACGTCCATGATTATTGGACGGCCGTTCACCTATAATGGACACCCGTCCATAATTTAAGCTAAAAAAATTTTGAAAACAAAAATAATGGATGTCGATTCATATATTATGGATGGGCGTCCCTACTGAATGGATGAGCGTCCCTATTAGATGGACGCCCATCCATTGTTTAAAATTTTAAATTAAAAAAACAAATTAAAAACAAAAGTATTGGATTCTTGGAGCAGGCCATTTTGTAAGTCAAAACTCTCTCTCTCTGTTTTCTGTTCAATCTTATTAAATACCAACTCCACATGTCACGTCTTCATCAAATCATCATAACATCATCATTCTCTCTCTTTTTTTTTTATACTGTAACACGTTTTCACTACTGGAAGTTATGTCGTGATCTTCATATAAATATGGCCTTAAAAAAAATAATTGGTTGAAAAGCGAGTCTTTAGGCAAAAATTGGAAAGTCCATGATTGGCCAGTCAACATTTCCCTATCTAATGGACAGGCACTACTCTTGTTTTTAAAAAAATAATTTTATTTATTTATTTATTTTAAACAATGGATGGGCGTCCATTCTAGGTGAACGTCCGTCTATAGTAAATGAACTCTCGTCCATATTATATGAACATGAGTCCATTGTTATTTTCTCATGAACGGGCGTTCATGATAGGTGAACGGCCGTCCAATAATCACGAACGCTCGTCCATATTTGATGGATGGTTGTTCATTCATGGAATATTTGTTAATATGCTACATGGCTACGTGACACGTCATTTGGTGTAAATTTCGGTGTAAGTCTTCGGTGTAGCATTATTCTAAATGGAAAATCAACTTCATTAAACTTCACTTGCTGAGTAATATATAGTCGACCAGAAGATGTTAGACACAAGTATCCTTTTTGAGAGAGACTATACCCCAGAAAAATACACTTTTCTGTATGATAAGAAAACTTATGTTTCTGATATGGTCTAAGATATGGATCGCAACTACTGCCAAACACTCTAAAATCAGTATACTTAGGCTCCTAGTGAAATAAAACAAAGTAAGGAGAGACAAAATTAAGAGGTGCAGTAGGTAATCCGTTTAGGAGAAATGTTGTTGCGTTAAAGGTTGACCACCAAAAATTCAGAGGCATACCAGCATGTGCCAAGAGGGACAACCCATATTTTGTGATTGACCTATGCCTCATTTCCACTCTTCCATCCTGTTGATGTAGGTAGGGACAAGGGTGTCTAAACTAGATGTCATTCTCTTGAAGGTATCCAGAAAAAGGATCTAAATTCCCCTCCCCAATTGGTTTGTAAACACTTTAATCTTGTATCTAATTGCTTTTCTACAAAGTTATAAAATTGCACAAACATAAAATAGGCCTCAAATTTAAGCTTGAGAGGGTAGATCCATGTGTACCTACAAAAATCATCCACAAAAACTATATAATATCGATATCCTTCTCTAGACATAATAGGAGCTGGCTCCCATAAGTCAAAATACACAAGCTCTAAGGGACAATTTGCTCTTGAGAATGAGATGGGAAAACTACATGGTGTTAATTTCCCAAACTAACAGGCTTCACAAAATGGACTTTCATTACTGTGAACAAAATGTTTTATATTCAGCTTATTCAACACATGTTGAAGAGTTTTGACATTCAGATGTCCTAGCCTAGCAAGCCATAACAAGAATGATTTTGAGAGTACACTGTCAGATTTACAATCAGAATTTTTATAAAAAACATCAATAGAAGAATCTGCAGCAAAATCTGAAGTAAACGCATTTGCTTCATGAACCACTCTGTCTTTTACAAGATGTGAACCCGAATGAGACAAACGAGGAAGAAGAAGAACCATTGCTTGATAACTCTAGTTGGTAAAGATCTTCTTTCACTACTCCTTGCAACAAGACAACTTTAATGTTCTTATCCTTTACCAAGCAACGGTCAGAATAGAATTCAGCTATGACATTATTATCCTTTGTAATTTGAGAAATACTTAGCAAATTTTTAGCAATTTTGGGAATACATAAAATATTTCTAAGTTGGATAACTCTATGAGAGTCAAAAGAAGGAACAAGTAACATACCAGCATGAGTGATAGGAATAGTGTCACACCCCCTCCCGGGTAATCCCTATCCCATCAGATCTGGGCGCTTCGAGAACCCGAGAGGAAGGTGAATAAATCATAAAGTCATTCATAAAATCCATTTATTATAACATAAGTTAAGTGAAACAATTATCCATGCACGTACAAATAGTCTCTGGAAACATAAATACAAAAAGTCAGTCACAAAATATAGTATCAAAGTACACTAAATGAACACATATCATTAGGAAGAACATGCATCCGTAGGCCAACCTAGAGCGTACAAGTAGCTCCACACGAACCGTGAAGTAAACCTTGGGGGGTGGGGGGAAGAAAACATAAAACAATGAGCTGGGAAGCCCAGTGAGTGGATAATACATTTATAAAGAAAATACTAGTAAGGGAAAATGTATTTCATGTACAAGCTTGATGAGTGTCACACAACCATCGATCCATAGATGTACTCATACTCACCACCACCATACTCGTACCCAAGGGACTTGGATCACAACTCTAAAGTATAGGTCCCTAATATAGACAATCCACTAGGCTACCCATAATATATCCTCGCGGTGGCACCGACCACCCACAGTCTATCCTCGCGGTGGCACCATCCACGGTCTATCCTCCAGATGGCTGAAATCATTCTGGGATAGCCATACTTAACCCACAGTCTATCCTTGGGGTGTCATGATATGGCATCCCATCGTAAAATCCCGCCCGTGGTTTATCCTCAAGGCGTCAATATCAAAGTCCCACCCATGGTCTATCCTCGGGGTGTCAAATTGCCTAGAGCTCGTCAGACGCCCATCCTGTCCGGTAGGATGGTCTAAGCTCATGATTGTTTGGTAGTACATGCCATCTCTATGCGTATGAGGTTAGACAATATCGCTAGCCGAAGTTTGGAAGGGATGGGTATTGACGCAAGGTGGTCTTCGATCCAATTCATCGAACACAACCATATATATATGTATAATTAAAATTCATGTGTGAAAGCAAATGTGGTTTCGTGATGTTGAAAAATATGCATCAAGTAAAATATCCATTTATTCCCCATATTTATTAGTTATCACCTTCAGTCCTTCAACTTTTAAATCTGTGCAATTTACCGCCTGTCTATGTGACAGGTTTCAAAAGTTGCAAATTACCCCCTAAATTCTTCGTCGTAGCGAAGTTCTCCCGAAAGCTCTCAGAAAACTCCAGGAGTTACCTCGTCCCAACGAGAATTCTCTTCGCCACAGCGAGAACTAGATTTTTCACAAATCTGGGTTTCTTCTCCACCTAGCTGCATTTTCTCTCAACCTTTTCTCTTCTCCTCAATCTTTCCACACCTAAATTACACTTCAACACACTCATATGCATGCAATGAATCATCCTAAACATACAATACACACAAAACACCCAATATCAGGATCTCCATGATCCCATAAATCCAACTCTCTCTACAACTCTCAACTCCTCCACAACCGACACAAACAAACC